GAATGTGCAAACTTAAAAAAAATAATAATAATAAAAAAAATGGTGGCTTGAAGGAGATGAACAAATAGTGCTGTACTCACACAGCAGAGCTGGTGCAATTTCTGTGTTTTTTAGCCTACCACAGAATCTATCAGTGTGTTTATGTAAGTCAGCACATGCACTGAGTCAAGCTGGTGCTGCCTGTAGTTCATAGAATCATTGAATTGCTCAGGTTGGAAAAGACCTTAAAGATCATCAAGTCTAACCACAACCTAACCATACTACCCTAACAGCCCTCCGCTAAGTCATGTCCCTGAGCACCACATCCAAATGGTTTTTAAACACATTCAGGGATGGTGACTCAACTTATTCAGCTGTTGACGTGCATAGTATCAAACTAATTGTCTTATTTGGGACCAGGAATGTTTTCTCTGGAAGTCAGCCTAACAGGTCTGGTTCTGCCCCAGCCTTCTTTCAGCACATGGCTGTAGGGCAGAAGTGGCACACGACAGGAATCGGGGTGTATTTCATCACACTGACTTGTTACCACTGTGTGGGTGTTACTTGTCTTACTGTGAATGCACAAGTTTAGCTGTCTGAGGTCTGAAGTGCTGTGATCAAAGTTTCACCCAGATTTCCATATGCTTCCTGTTTCTAATCTGGAAATATCTGTATTTTCTGTGGACTGTGTTGATCTGAAAGGAGATCAAGAGCCATAATATATGGATGCAAAGAGGGAAATTGCAAAGTTCTGAAAGCTCTGGACATTTTTCCTGTGACAGTGGATGACTTGTTTTAAATTCCTTTTTGCTCTTGGCTGTTTGTGCATCTAGAAGTGTTTCTTGTAGGGGACTGAGACAGACGAGATTCACTGGTGGGCAACTTTAGAAGCTGAGAGTGCAAAACTGTTGGGAAAGCTGAGCTGTGTATCCCATCTCTAGAGCTGTGCCAGCAGCCAGCCAGCTGTTAGTAAGGGCCCTGGGCAGCGAGTGCTGTTAGATGCTTATGCAGACCAGATAGGAGTGCATCTGCAGGCTGTCCTACCATGTGAAGTTTCTCTTATGGCATAGGAACACTTAAGCTGTGCTGAGAAGGCAATGCCAGTTCTGGCATCTGAGTTTCCTTTATTATTTTCCAGGTATTTCTGAATTCTATAAATTAAATTAGAAGAAATTATGTTCTGCCATGACACAAATGCTAAGTTCTTACTTGGGCTGGAATTTTCTTGATGAATAAAAAAATCTTTAATACTAAGTACTTCGAACTTGAGTATTCTTTATCTGCAGGGAGTAAATCTGCTTGAGAAAGTGCAGTTACCTAACTGGTGCTTCATGTGAATGGTTTGTATGGTAGAGATTGATAGAACATCAGCTATATGGTGAGCACTGGTTTTATTAGTTCTTCTGTTCCCGTTCTAATCTTAGAGAAATGTGTATGCTGGGTATTATTTTGATTTTACAGCTTTGTGTCACTCGTTTTTAAATGGCTGATATGCAGCATGTGGGCAGATGAGAAGCACAAGTCAGGGCTATTTGTTAGCATCTGTGAAACTATTCCACACTCTTAGTGATATTTTTCAGAAGGAAAAAAAGAAGAGGAAAGGTGATACTCTATTGCAAAGGGTTATCTTGTTATCTTTTTTGTTCCATGAAATCATGATCTTGTAGTGCTATGAGGGGTGCATTCTTCCATGCCCTGGATTGCAGATAAACTGTGGTTAGGAGGAGAGGTGGGGCAGCACAAGCAGTGTGAAATTGAAGGGAAGGAAGATGGTGTCTGGGTTTCATGCAGTGGCAAACATTCATGGCATTATCTAATACAGCTTTGCTCCACTTGCGTTGCGGACATGCCATGTTTTCTTACCAATGCTGGAAATCTGCAGTGTTTTGTAAGCACTGAAGAATTTTTTTGCTGCTTTGTCTTAAAAAGAAAAGAATGTAGCTGAGAAAGTAAGAAGAGGAGAGAAAAGCACTGGGAGGCAGGGAGCTGCTTTGGGCCACTCTTGGATACGTGGTAGTGAACTGTTTGGAACAGTCAGTTGACTCAGAATTGCAGACTTCTTAAGAATTCTTAGACTGAGTAACATCCCAAACTTTATCTGTCAGTGCTGAGGTCATGATGCTGACCTCCCTTAGGTACCCAAGTAAAGGAGTCTGAGGATTCATCTGCTCCTTTTATATAGAATCTCAGAATTGAGTTGGAAGGGACCTAAAAGCCTACCCAACCCCCTACCTGGGCTGGTTGCCCCTCCCCAGCTCAGGTTGCTCAGGCCCCATCCAACCCGGCCTTGGGCACCTCCAGGGCTGGGGCACTCAGCTTTCTGGGCAGCACTGCCAGGGCCTCACCACCCCTTGAGTGAAAAATTTGTAAAGACGATGTAAAAAATAAGTCACCCTCCTGTATTGTAGGCAATGAGGTTTTCTCTCATAGTTCTGGAGATCTGTGAGCATGTTTTCAATGAGACAGCTGTTTCCTGGATCTGACTCTGCAGGGTGCCTCACTTAGCACAGGTTGCCATATAACCTTGTGCTCTGTCTGTTAGTACTCTCTTCATGGGCATTAAAGCTTGCCAAGGAGGTGGCTACTGGGTTTCCTGATAGCCCTTTCCTTCCATGCTGGTATCTGTTGCTACTGTCTGGTGCTAAGCCTTGAGCAGAGCGTTTGTTACAAAGCATTTGGCCTTCATCACAGTGACCTCCCAGCTCACCTGAATTGGGGTTTATCCCTATGGGAATCAGGAAATGCCACGGGCTGACAGGTTTCAGAATCTCTCTTGCCTATTTCAACTATATGAGTACTTTTTGTAACTGTGGAGAGCTGGAAGGAGTACAAGGTGGAGTCTGGAAGTATCACTGGTGTTCATTCCATGTAATCAAACCATTGGTGGTGGGGGAGAGGAACTTGCTGTGTAACCTGCTTTTGTCAGGTTTTGGCTGACCACGGTATTTAGCTTAGTTGATGTCTGTAAAGCACTGTGGAAATGAGCATTATCTGTTTTTGATGTGCATGCCTTAAGCCACATTGCTTTTACGTGTGTAGCTCCTTCAGTTATCATAAGCAGTGTTTTCTCAGCCTATCTGTGTGTTGTTGTTCCTGGTTCTTTTCTGCCTTTCATTTAGGGGCTGAGTAGTAAAGAGAAGGGAAAGCAAAAAGCTAGTATAAAACTTATTGGAGAAGCTACAGAATTGACCATTAGCTTTTGATTTGACATTGCTTTATAACAGTACCAATATTTTCTTTTTATATATTTAAAGAAATATAAAAATATAAAATGCTTGTTCAGAGGAAATAAGACTTTATGCTTCAGCTCAAAGGTTGTGTTCTTTAAAAAGAAAAAAATTCTTCTGTTCCAAATGTTCACAACCTTTGCACAGTGGACTGGAAATAGCTGAGGAGGTGGCAACGAGTAATCTGGTGTTTAGACTGCATTAAGACTTTACTGCAACAAAAAGATTATCTGGATTGCATTGTTGCCTAATCCATTATGGCTTAAGCAGTCTTGGCATGTGATGCAGTGGTGCGTTAATCTATTTTCAGAAGTCTGTGCATATATTTCTCCTCAATTCAGGCTTTGTTTTGGGCAGTTATTTTGGCAGAGCTCTCTTATGGTTAGTTCTAGCAGAATCATAGAATCACAAGTTTGGAAGGGACCTGCAGGGTCATCTAGTCCAACTGTCCTCCCATTACCCTTTCTCCCACAAGCCACTAAACCATATCTCGTAGGTTCTCATCCAGAGAAAAGCCTCATCCTGTCTCTGTATCTAAAACACCTTGCTATTCAGTGCAAGTGGGCAGGTTTTGAGAAGAACACTTCCTTCTCCTGTGTCTTTGAATTGAGGAACCAAGTCCTCAGGGGGTTTATTGACCAACAGGCTGCCTGCCGTTCTCATCAGCACTTGTAGTTTCAAGTTTTCTGTCTGCAGCTCTGGTTGAAAGCTCTGACTAATTTTGAGCTCTGACTGGTTTCTCAAGGAACCAGTGCAGATGAACGTGATAATGCTATTAAAAACAAAAATGTGTCTGTCAGTGTACCCAAATTCTAAGTTCATGGAACCATGGAGATTTGAAGGCCACGTGGTCCCAGCCTTGTGTTCAAGGCAGGACAAGTTGGATAGGTGTGTTTGGGGCATTTCCTGGTCTGAGCTTTGGAGGATCTGTGGTGTTGGAGAGTCCACAAGCTCTTAGGGCAATCCATTCAGATATTCAGCCACCTCAAAGGATAATATTTTTTATCCTGTCTAATCTGAGTTTCCAGTATTTGAATTGTCTGTTGCCTCTTGTCTTAACTGTGCTCGTCTGAGAAAAGTCTGGCTCCTAGTTCTAATAGTTGCAAGATTACAGTGGACAAGAAGGATTTTGAGGATGTGTTATGTTTGAGCCTTCATCTATCAGTACTTCATAACATAAATTCAACTGACCAAGCAGAGCACTTATTTTTCAGATCCAACCTGTTTTCAGGCATACATAACATAATGTTTACACATAGCATTTCTATAAAATTTCTCAAGAATGTGTTGTTCTTTGAGCAAATGGTGAAAAGTTTTTGGAGGACTTGGAATTGTTTGGTAGGAGTAGAAACCTTTAGAAATGCATCAGCACTTTGTAGGCACAGTGTAGGGTCCATATCTGGATTGTTTAGTGGTATGCTGGCCTTTGTTATGAGGTACTCCAATTGTCTGAAAGACAAATCTTTGTGAGTTTATTACATCTTAAAGTTCTGCTATCTGACAGACAACCTTTCTGACTATTATGGCTAATGGTAACAAGGTAGTAAAGCCTCTTCCATAGTTTTCACTTAGGCTTATCTGGCGTATTTCCTGGTATAAATACTGTAATATCTGGGACAAGTTCAAAGGAAATCTTTGTGGTATTGTTCATAAAACCAGCAAATTTAAGGAGGTTTGATTTACTACTTAAATGGGCATATCTCATTTTACTTTTTTCTTTTTTCTTTACAATGTGCAAGAAAGATCCTAATTGAATTAAAGTTTGTCCTCCCTTTTTTCTTCCTCCTCCCTCAGATTGCAGCTATTCTCAGGAAACGAAAACTTGACTATTATTTGCACAAACTGCTACCTGAGATCTTGCAATCAACTTCCTTTCTGACAGCAAATGGGACCTTGTATATTGCTTGCTTTTGCATTCTAAGGTTGGTATATTGTCCTAAAAATTATATGTAATAGGAAAGCCATTGAATGTAACTTTTTAGCTTATAGAATAATTTATCTTAAAAACAAAACAAACAAACAAAAAACCCACATAATTTGTGTGAGGTTTCACATGCACCTCTCCCTCCTGTCATCCTCCCATTAGATTAGAGAAGGAAGCTTACATGGCTTAGGAGTAAGACAGCAACAGCTGGGCTTTCTGATTTTTGCAATTGACTGTGCACAACATACACATTTTTTTTTTCCCCCTTTCTTGTGTAAATGTTTTTAAAATCAGCAAACAAGGCAATATATTCACATGGTTTCCTTTTCCATTTGTTACTGATTCCAAATGTATGGGTGCAGGAAATGCAGGTTGATTGTAAGGATTATCTAAGGAGGTCTGATTTTTCTCTCCTAGAAATGTTTGAATGCAAACAGACTTTTCAGACAGTGGGTCACAAGATTATCAGAAAAATTATGCTTTCCAATGTAACTGCTGTTCTTTGAAGAGCAAGCCTGTGTTTGGTGATGATTTGATGATCAGTGCAGCATATATGAATTGCAACTGGAATTGAAATTGACGAGATTACTTTCTAGGATTGTTAAAGGGGAATGATTTCCTATCTCCTAGGAATTAGTAAATCATGTAGTTAAAGTGTGTTGGGGGGAAAAAAGGAATAAATAATCAGTTTTCCTAATTAAGAGAAGTTGCCAGTAATGTTTCTGCTATGTTACTTGTTCTATATATAGCTCTGTAACTATATGTAGCTAATTTGGAAAAAAGAATTTAGTGTGAGATTATGTGAGATGTTTTATGGTAAGAAAATCTAAAACTTATAGTCAGCCATTTCAGAAAAATCTCTTGATTTTTTTAGGGGAAAAATATGAAGCTTGATAGAGAAAAGTGCAAAGTAATCAACTGGAAGGAAGAGAGCAATTCTATCCTATTCCACACAGTGGTGGGATTTAAACTGGGGACTAAATTAATCAAATGCTTGGGGGTCATTAAGGATAGGTTCTGTGAACAAGTCAGCTGAACAAGTTGATCAAGAAAACAAGTCTTATGAAGAGAGAAACTGGGAACAAACCAACGAGCACTATTAAATACATGATATTCTTAAAAACTATGTGCTGTATACCTTTATGAAGAACTACTGAGCTCCTGAAGTTGATAAATTAATCACTTGGATTTTGCTTAGTATTAAGTTGTCTTGCAGCTTAAGCCATGTAAGCTTCCTTCTCTAATCTAGTGTGAGGATGACAGGATGGAGAGGTGCATGTGAAACTTCACTGCTTTTTGTTACTACTTCGTGTGAGGTGGTTGTTTTATGTAAAGTATTTGTTTGAACTCATGATTCTTTGAGTTAATCACTGTGTGACGTGGAAAATGTTTAACTTCCTGCAGAGGCCTCTCAGAGAGAAAATAACAATCTCATTTTCCAGTGCAGAATGCCATTTGGTACTGTATCACAGATTCACATGGAATCACAGAATGGCCAGGGTTGGAAGGGACCTAAAGGATCGTGAATCTCCAACCCTCCTGCCACATGCAGGGCCACCAACCAACATTTAATACTAGACCAGGCTGCCCAGGGCCCCATCCAACCTGGCCTTGAACACCTCCAGGGACGGGGCATCCACAACCTCTCTGGGCAGCTGTTCCAGCACCTCACCACTCTTATAGTAAAGAAAACTGTATGTTTGAATCCATCAAAGAAATGGCAGAACACCATAGATACACTGTGGCCCGAGTGTTTCTGAAGTCAAGCTATGACCTTTCATAGAAAGACTTTAGAGACCAGATCCTTTAGGTCTGATTTTGGGTAATGGAGATGAAATGGGATATGTATCATTTTTATCTTTTTAGTTGCAAGGTTTGTTGTGGCTTTTTTTTTTTTGTCTTATCCAAAAAGTTCAAGTCTCTATAAGGAGGTGTGTTTGTTCTATTGACATCTGAGGTTCCCAGAGCTCTGAGTCGATGCAGCATTTCCTGCAGACTTTGTGCTGAGTAGGAGAGTTTCTAGAAAGCAGGAGTGGCAGTGACAAAGAAACAGAGTTGTCCAGCAGTCCCCATACAGTCAGTTCCTGAAATTCTAGAGTAGAGCAGCAGATAAAAGGGTTTGTAGCTGGACATGTTAACTCATTTACCTGCATAATTCTTGCTCTGATAAAGAATTGTGTGTTTCCTCGTTTTGTAACACCTGGGCAATGTGTTGGTAGGCATGTTAAGGGTCTCCTGGATAAAGTGACCACTTCATTTTTTCGTACATATACCAAAGTCTCAGTGATTCTTCACACTGTCTTATACTGTATTCTGTAGAAAATATCTTTTATTCTCCTAGTAGCAATTGAAAGACCTAAATATGAAATGTAATTGTCAGTGGGATGTTTGGCTTGTGCTGATGTGTGGTTTTGATGCTCTTGTAGTATTTCCTTGCTTCCCACTGAGGAAAACTTTCAAAAACTGCAAATACATCTGAGGGTGTAATATTTTAGACAAGAAAATGCAGTTTAAATGATTTCAGTAATTGTTGAATATTCTCTCCTTTTCATTAATGAGTAAAATTTCATAACAATCCAAGTTCAGTTTCAGCAGTGACTTGGGCTCTGGGTAGCTGTTCTCATTCCAAAAGGCATCACTAAGCGAAGTTGGCTGCTTTTTAAATTTGTTTTCTTTCTTGAAGTGAAATAGTGAATGTGTGCAATCTGCTCTATTGGCAGAACTGTGGAGGTGGTGATCCATATTACGGATGTGTGACAGCCCAGCTGTGGCTGTAATCTGTTTGCTGAGGTGATGCAGTTAGACTACATCTGTCTACGCTTCAGAAAGAAGTCTTAGGCTCCTCCACTGATGGGCATTACAACAGTTAAAAGATGGGTGTGAGTTTTAGGGTTTCAGTTCCATTAAATTGATTCAAAACCTCATGAAGTCGTGGCTCAGTTAGCCTTGCAGCTAGGGTAATTCAGTTTGTCTGTGTACATACAGCTTTCCAGTAATTTGCTTGGTTCAATTCAGCTGTATGTATCAACCAGCCTTTCAGCTTTGGGTACAGTTTCACAATGAGAAATTAGATGAATAATCAGGAAGAGAACACATGCTTCTCATTCCATTATGCTGCCTCAGACTGTGTAAAAACTATGTAAAAACAACTACATAAATAATAATAAAATCTTGCTTTCGTTTATTCCAACAGAAGTTTAAATTTTCCACTTTATGATTGGACATCTACATTTTCAGTGACTTCTATTGTGTAAAATATGTACTGCTTTTACCTAAATCTCATCGCACTGAACATAGAATCATAGAATGGCCTGGGTTGAAAAGGACCACAATGATCATCTAGTTTCAACCCCTGTGCTATGTGCAGGATTGCCAACCACCAGACCAGGCTGCCCAGAGCCACATCCAGCCTGGCCTTGAAAGCACATAGCATTCGTGGAGTGATTCTGATCTATGCAGGCAGAGCGAGTTCCTGTTTTTTTCCCACAGAAAAGCATTTGTTCTGTTACTTAACAGATGTGTCTGGTAGGATGTGTTCATACTTATTAGGATGTTTCAGATGGCTTATCTGAAACTTCATATAGTCATTGCTTTCCAAGAGAGTTCTAATAATGAATTTTAGCTACTGCAGCATTTGGCATTGTCATCCAGAGAAATCATCCTTTTTCAGCCGTGGGAATGAGTAGTGTGTATAATTGCCATTACATCACTTGTTGGTGATACACTGGCTTTCTTTTTTCTTCTGAACGTAAGCTGGCATTGCTCACTGCTCATGTTATTTTAGCAGCAGAAGTATGAAATGAGGCTGTTTGTGCCTTCTGCAGCAAGAATGAAAGTGATCTAATCCAGGTGGAAGTGATGAATAATCTTAGTTCTCTCTATCAATGTGAAATTTCATATAAGAAAATCATGTTTGTATTTTGCTTTATTTTTAGAAGGGAAGACTCCACTGTATTTTCCTCAAATAATAGTGCTTATCTGCTAAAGCAGCCACAGTGTAACTGAAGTGTATTCCTTATCAAATTTCAGGACTGGCTGATTTGCTTATATGGTCAGCCCAAGTCAGTTGGAAGGTGCAGGTGTTTGGAGCAGATTAAGTATGGTGGAGGCCAATGTCTGTGACAAGCATTTTGGTTTTCCTATTCTCTTAGCGACCAACTTATAGAAATATCTTCCTAGATGATGTCTGTATTTGAAGAAATCTTTCTTTCATCTCTTGGAAGAATTTTGATGGTTGTAATAGTGTGAACTCTGAGTGAAACCCAGATCTGGTTGCAAAAAGTGAGAGCTTTCCCACTGGCCTTAGTAGATCTGGGACTTCTCTCTTGGTTCCAGCTGTAATTAATTCCTTGACTTACCATAAGTGAGTGATTTACTGTTTTTAGCAACTGTTTTTAGCAACAGTTTGCCTATCTATCTTCAGAGCACGTTGTGTAGTAGAACAATTTGATTTGATTTCTGTCTCACTGGACTGCATTCCTACGTTCCACAAGGCATCCTGAGATGTGTGCAGACAAATAGCAGGGAAAGGAGCAGCTGTAAGGTTGGAATTAGTACCTGCAGCTTTTCAGAAACGTGTCTTGGAAGTATTGCTTTCCTTAAATTAAAGTAATCCTTTAACTGAAATAGATACGCTCATGAAGTTTTAGGTCTGAAATGTTAAGAGAGAAAGTATCCTCTCTGGGAACACCTCTGAGAAGAACTATTCAACTGTAAGAATGGTTAGCATTTATCTGTAATTATCTGATGAATGTAAAATACATTTTTTTTTAATAAATGTACATCAATATTGTGATTGCTTTGCATGTAACGCATGTATAAATTACATTTTCAGGAAACTACTTGGAAAATTCTACTTTTGGTCTCCTGGCTTTGGTGCTGCTTTACCAGCTTCTTATATGGCTATTCTCATCGAAAGGAAAAGCAGGTACAGTTCATGTTAAGGGATTTTCTGTATTATATAATAATATTTCTTGTTTTGGTCATCTGACAATTCAGTTGCTTTTTTCCCTTCAAATCCTGAAATGTTCTCCATTTGAACTAGAGTCCTTTGCAGCCTCAGTATAGGAGGCTATAGTGAAAAAATCTTTTTACAAAGATCTGTTTCTTATTATTTATTTATTTTTTAACATGAAGGAGTAATAGGATGATGGGGGGGTGAGGGGATGGACAGACTGAACGTCTCAAAGAGCTGAAGTAATCCAAACTGAAAGAAATGTAATGATAAAGAGAGCAGAGATTTTTTGCTTATGAAACGATGCCACAGTTCAGCTATCAACATGAAATTCATTAGGAAGAGCATGGAGTTGAGAGAAGAAAGCTCTGAGTGATCCAAGGATAACTGGAAGCTGCCATTTATCCTGTGGCTGTGAGGAAATGGCAGATGAAATCTGGATTGTGAAGGTTGAATGTCTTGAAATGCAACTTCCATTGGTAATTTGCATCAATAAAGAGAACTACAATGCTTAATTTAATATGGGATGAGATGGATGCCCCATCCCTGGAGCTGTTCAAGGCCAGCTTGGATGGGGCCCTGGGCAGCCTGGTCTAGTATTAAATGGGGAGGTTGGCAACTCTGCCTGCGGCGGGTGGTTGGAATTTCATGATCCTTGAGGTCCCTTCCAATTCAAGCCATTCTGTGATTCTATGTTTTGGTCATCTAGTTTGTGTGCCCTTTATTTGAAGTGGAGGTGGTGAGAAAAGTGTAGTAGATGAATTTATTCTTTACAAGAAAAAGAGGTTTTCATCCTTGAGATGATGTGAACACACTTCTGTGATATCTGTGAATGTCTGAAAATTCCATATGCAGTCATTTCAAAATAACTGCAAATACACATATGTGTTGTCACCTACCTGCCATGCCCTATCTCTGAACTTCAGTCGTGGAGTTAAGCAGTACCCAACCTGAATTTTAAGTAAGATTGTCAGAGTTCTCTCCTCTGAAAATAATACCCTACCTATTGTTTTTTGGAAACTGAAGAATATTCTTTTATATGTAAGTAGTTCTGGGAAGGTGGTGGTGCTTCTAAATAATTTTATTGAAAGTAACTATAAAGGAAAATGATCATAAAATTATGACTGTATTAATTTATTTAGGAAATTGAACTTTTTTAAAAAATTCCTTTCTAGCTGATTGGTTTTCCTCTTACTATGATTACTTCATAAAAGGGCAGATACCTTTGGTGCATTTTTTTGTATTTACTCAGACTCTGGAACTGTGTTGGCAGTGTTTCATTTTACAGTGCAAGCAAATGCATATTCCAACTTTAATTAGAATCATTTAACTTTTCCCACAGACCTGTTACAATGTGAGTGCTTCATATGTCAGGCCTCTGATATTTCTAGACAAGATTAGATGGACTACCAGCCTCATTTCCTCCCACTTAGGAGTTTCCTGTAGCTTTCAGAATATTCTTGAGCTAAAAGCTGTAACTACTGGTAAGCCCAAACTATATGGAGTTTTTATATGGCAGCGGAACAGCTGTGAAAATCTTGCAAACCAAAAACTTCTGAAGTGCAGAAAGAGAGTCTGTAAGCAAATATTATGCCAAATGGCAATTTTTAAAAGCCTTAGTGGCAAAGCAAGAATTTAGCAAGCACCTATTTCACTTCTTGGAAGCAGTAAGAGCTGAAATAGGGGATGTATGAAGATGATGAAAGTAGATAGAACACGTATGTGTATGGTATCCTGGGGCTTGTTAACATCAGCATGGCCAGCAAGTCAAGGAAGTGATCCTCCCGTGCTTCTCTGCCCTGCTGAGGCCACATCTGGATTACTGCATCTGGCTCCCCAGGTACTGCATTGTTATTCCTCCAGCATTGATAACATTTAGAAAATGTGTTGTATCTTTTGCTGAATAACTACAATTTGGGACATGAAGGAAATTCAGATGTAGTTATGTAGGAAATAAGGTGACCATGCTGTTGGGTAGGAAACATACCTGCTGCTGTGAAGGAAGCTTGAATGTGAGCAGTCACTGTTATTAATGACAAAAATAGATGCATGGCATTGAAAAGTAGTTGGGAAACTTAACTAACTAAAAATACAGAAATATTTGGTGTGTAACCCTGTACACTTTGTGAACTGCTGCTACTGACAGACCCAGTGGGACAGGACTTAGATTTGAGAGCTATTTGTTTGGTATCTTCAGTTAAAGGCAAAATCAAAATTTAATGGACTTCTGTGGTCTCTTAGGAAGGTAGCTTTGGTCAAGGAGATATGGTGCCATTTTTAGTCATCTGTGGAATAGCTTTCAACAAAGTGTAAGGAACAGTCTTGATTTTAGCTCAAATATATCTCTACTCCTTTAAATTGCAGCTGGCAGCGCCATCAGATTTACTCATTTAATTTCATCCCAAGTGGAGACCCTATTTTAAGTGCCTCACTGGCATTTGCTTGCACAGAGTGCTTGTAAAATCAGATTGTTGAATGTTGCTGTACCTGTGTGCCAGTGTTGCAGGATAATAGGAAAAAGAGATGGGCAGGCAGTTCTGCAGAGAGCAGCTCTATGTGGCATAAACCTGAAGGGGGGCTGTGTTTTCTAAAGGGCTGCAGAACAGGTTTGGTGATGGTTTGTGTCTTTGTAACAAGTAACTTAAGTTTTCATGGAATCACAGAACAGCCTGGGTTGAAAAGGGCCGCAAAGACCATCTAGTTTCAAGTCCCCTGCTATGTGCAGGGTGCCAGCTACCAGACCAGGCTGCCCAGAGCCACATCCAGCCTGGCCTTGAATGCCTCTAGGGATGGGGCAGCCACAGCCTCCTTGGGCAACCTGTTCCAGTGTGTCACCACCCTCTGAGTTGAAAAACTTCCTCCTAATATCTAACCATTGCTATTTTCATGGTATTGGGATGGAAAAAGGAGGTGGGATTGAACAGAAGTCAAAGGTACTCAGACATGATCTGCAGTGTGTTATACTGCTATTTTTCTGTAAGGACATAAGTTATACTTGAATTTATCCATGTGGATTCTATTTTGTGAGTATAAGGTATGACTGTTGTGGCCAGGGATGTAGTTTGTTGGGGCCTGTGGAAAGGGCAAGCTATACAACCACTTGTAAATCATGATGGCTGCTTGGGATTGGGATGTATGTATGTTCTGTGATAGAAAATGAGTCACATTATGATCATTAAGGAAAATGCTTTGATAAGAATGATTTCTTAGATTGTAATTGGATGTAGACAGAAAAAAAAGTAAATATTTTGGTTTGCTTTTAGTTGCTTTTAGTGTGTTGATCATATTCTAACCCTTTGGTGCCCTACTCCTGTGGAGGTAACTGAGTTTCTGCCTCTTTCTTGTGCTCCCTACAGCACGGAGTGTGTGCTAGAATAGGAGGACGCATCCTTACTGAGCAATAATGAGTTTGAAAAGTAACATCTGCCAACTCTTAGCTGCATAGCTGGTGTGTGCTTCATGTTCTGAGAAGTGCACAGGGTTGGAGCTTCTTACCGTTAAGTTATTGGTGTCAGTCCTACCGTGTTACTTCTTTTCTGTCTCTGTGACTGATAGACATGATAAAAACCAAAAGAAATAGTGTTATATATGGTATGGCTTTTTGACGTGCACAGAAAAAGTTCCTGGTGAAATGTACAGAGTTCCCCAGAATATACATCCTTCTAATTCACTTTATTTGTCAGTTCCTTCAACATTTTAGTTACTCTTTAGATATAACAGTTAAAATAATAATGTAGTATTAATGGATATTAATATCCGTATAAAATATTAGTAGTACTATTATAAGTGTATTTAAAGTAACATTTTCCTTTGCTTGTTCACTTTTTCTTACATGTTGCATAAAGCCTGGTCTGGTGGTTGGTGACCCTGCACGTAGCAGGGGGTTGAAACTGGATGATCATCGTGGTCCTTTTCAACCCAGGCCATTCTATGATTCTGTGATAAGTAGCTGCAGTTTTCTTGTCCCAGAATTTAATTTTGGAGTGTTGGATATTAAAGGTCTGTTAGTGTCTCTCCAGAAGCAGACAACTCAGGTATGTTCATTTCATTAGGCCTGCTCAGGGAATCATCACATTCATCTCGTTAGTGTCTGTCCAGAGTCGTTTTAGAGTGCACTCCTCGGTTACTGCTGCTGAGATGGTCTCAAGCTCTCTATAAGAAGCACTTCAGCTAGTTTCTAACTTTGAAAAATAACTAATTTACTCATGCCCTTTGGCTTCTGTTTGTAATTCTAAGCTTTTTAATGTCTATTAAGCGCTATCAGGAAGCCTGGAACTCCCAGTTGAGGTGGGAGCAGCTCAGATGCAGTGATGCTGCACTGCTGTGGGGCATTGGGGCTGCCAGGAGGTGAGGAAGTAACTGAGCCTCCTCGTTAAAGTTGCTGTGAATGAAGCTGCTGAAATGTGCTGTGAGGCTTGGCCACAGCCTGTGTATTGCTGGAAGTGTGACCAGATGGGCTGTGCCTTTCCGATTCCTGAGACAAAGGAGTCTGGCTGTTCAGTGAGCACCATTACTTCAGACATCTGTGATTAATATTTTGCAAAGAAAAGAGTGATGCTTCCCCAAGTCTTTCATAAACCTGCTAATTCTCCAAGTTCTATTTTACCGATAGCTAAATGGTTAATTTCAGTTTGTTTAAACTCTTGTTTAACAAAAAAAAAATTCTTAAAGAGTTTTAAGAGTTACAAGTGATACTTTAAGAAGGGGTACAGTTACGGTTTTAATGAACTCAATTATCTTACTGCCTGGCTAACTTTTTTTTCAGCCTTTGGTAAGCAATTAAGACAGAGAAACTGCAACTACATTCCCCTATAGGCTGTGGGGTGGCTCCAAAGAGACCCTTCAGGGATTGCCCCCACCACCCCACTGGCCAACAAATGTTTATGTATGGGCTGTTAACATTACAGTGGCGCCTGTCTCGTCTCTACGGGTATGGCTGTGTCACTGATGGTGTTATAAAACCTGAGATTTAG